GGAGAATGGGTAAAAAGAATGACTGAATGTACAAGATTTCCGGTCACTGCAGAATCTGAAAAAGATCAAATTTATGCAACATTGTGCGTGCAAGATCTTGCACAATATAAAAAATGAGAACAGATCTCTCCCCTGGTGAATTTCGAGTGAGCCAGTTGAGTGACCAATCACGCTGCCTGGAACAGCCTGTGAGGTCCGATGGTAACCTGGAACGGCAATGGGAGACCTTGGAGGAGCGGAAGAACGATCCAGTAAGGCTGAAAGGGGTTCCTGTAACAAAGAAGAACAAGTTAGAAGGGCGCCGGAGTGTTTTTCCGGCGTATCCCCTCCGACGATCTAGTCAGTCTTTGAGTGAGAGAGAGGAAGGAGAAAACACTGAGTGTGTATTGTAGTAAAGAGTTTTTTGTTGCATACCCGTCTTGCCTTTTACAAGGGGTATTTATACCTCAAAAGCTCATGATTGATGTCAGTGTAGTTAGTAGGTGATCATTAGGTACAGGCAGTGTGCGCACTGATTCTGATGAGGAATGTCTTCTCTTCTTAACTGCTCGGGGTCCCGAGCAATCAATGTTGTGTCATCGGGATGCCGACGGCACAATGTACTCATCTCGGGGAGGATGCAATAAATGCTCTGTATTAGGAGCATTTATTGTCTTTCATTTTCGAGCCTTACCACATTGAATGCGGTCTCATCAAGGGAATGGTGCAATTAATTGTTTGCTTTCCCAAGTCGCGTGTCAGCAACGGCAGACGGTTTCTCTGTCTTCGATGTGATATCATACGCCACGCGTCCATCCCTTATTGGTTGTGATCCCTGCATTTCAGTACGTTCTGACACTAATTGTGTAAGACGAGGTCATGATGAATAGCCTAGACTAGCCTAGGCTAATGACCTGTACGTCAATAGCTTATCCTGGAGTAGAGGAAGCGTCCAGGACGGGGTAACTCTCGGCACCGAGGAAAGGCTCATCTCGGGAACCGAGGGAGGTATGCCGACCGAGGTACCATATCAGACCGAGGCCACGTGTCGGTTGTAAAATATACTGAATGCATGATCCTATATGACGAGTACCTCGGGGGTGAGGACCTTTGCGCGCCGATGGTGTTTGATCTTATCAACAGTATTTTAGTGATACCGAAGACACGTGTCCTCATCATAGAATATTTCAGAAAAGTCACATCAAACACTACTCCCTCGATGTACATGACACAAAATAACAGAGTGCCAAAAAATTTTGGGTTTTGTAGTTGTAGCCTTTTCATTTGTTATGCACAAATTGCCAATGGATTTAGGTATTGCATTCGTGCCAGCTGGTAAGGTGTATTCGTCCCCCACCTATTAATCTTGAGCCATTTGTCATTCTTCTTTTGTCCCACATGTCCCTTATGTTTGTATCAATACCTTGAGACAGTGCTATCTTACATTATACTTTTTCTAATGTGGATTGAATTTATATCACATATGTCTCGAAAACCCTCCTACAAAAAACAGAGAGAGAGAGAGAGAGAGAGAGAGAGAGAGAGAGCATTGGGAGATGTTTTAATGGAGCACTTCACAGCCCAGAAAAGGTTAAAAGCTAAAAGTTAAGGAATTTGAATATGTGACACAAAATCTTTTGATTTTGTGGAAGATTGTATTTGGTCATACTTTTGTAACTCTGCTTTAAGGTTGGTAGAGAGCAATGTAGATCGTTGTAAATGCATCATGATTCATGAGAGAGAAAATAGATCTCGCCATCAGCTCGACTAAGAGTTCCGAATCGAAAAAGTAAACTGAACTTGAGTTAAGACGAAGGAACCGAGTGCCCGGTTTCTTAAGGCTTCAAACTACTAGTCATTAAGACTACTATGAAAGAAAAGAAAAGTAAGGAAGTCCTTTTCTTGACTTGGCCTGCGTGCATTATACCTACCCCCTTTTTAAAGAACTGGATTTCAATCTCAACAAAGAAATGAAAGCATAACTTGTTGTCCTCTTACTCTTTTAGCCTGCCTTGTGGAGGTCTCTCGGGTGTCTACGGCAGATCCGATCAGTCTCGTGATGAAGAGAATTTCCGATCTTCCACTAAGAAAGGTATCGTCACGACAACTCAATTTGTCCGGTAAACTACTCGGGGCTCCCCATGGTTTAGTAAAAGGGGAGGGTTCTCTTCATCCGGGGTTCATTTCATTCATTATGAACTCAAAAGTGTAAGGCTGATTAGTGAGGTCTTAAAACTTCATACAATGAATGATCGGCCATTCCATTCCATTTGTGCTTTCAGCAAGTAGGCGACGCGAATCTATGCTTTCTATGTTTCAATCGGATACCAATTGCTTGGATGCCTTTGAAAGCCTCGAGATGACTTGCAGAAAGAATTCTTTCTAGGTTTGTCGTCTTGTGTCTCCGTAACAAATGGTCCATTTATTGATGGGCGAACGACGGGGATTGAACCCGCGCGTGGTGGATTCACAATCCACTGCCTTGATCCACTTGGCTACATCCGCCCCTACCCCCGCACAGGTTTCAATCTCTATCTACGATCAGATCCTTTCTGAACTCCCCTATGACCGCTCTCAAAGAGACACTTTTTCCTATACTATTACTATAGTTGCAAGTCTATTGTTGTGTTTCGGAACTAGGGGAACCAAAGCTTCAACAAGTAGAAGCTTCCTGGCAAAGCTTCAAACAAAGAGATTGGGCTGTTCACTTCATTGATTTGACTTCACTTTACTTAAGATTAAAGATAGGGGCCGGGCGGGCAGTGAAGGCTCATTTAGTAGACAGCGAGCGAGCAGCAAGCTACGGCTTTGACGAGCAGCAAGCACCTACTCCTATCAAAATGAAAAGCAGCAAGCGGAACTTGAAGAAGCGCGAGCCTCTATCAGAGAAAGCCATTGCGCGCTAGCCCCTTGTATAGGGTTCCAAACCTGCGCACCCCTAAACTACAAGCTTTGTTTGAAGCCTCTACTGAATTTATGGGATATTTGAAGAAGCCCCTTTCTCAAAATCTTTCTATATATAATATAAGGGAAGCTGAAAGAGCTTTCTTCGCATGCTTGAGCGCATCCCCTTTCTATTCATTAGTAAGGTTGTCAAATTTCCTTTAGTTCCTTTATGACTAAACTAATATAATAAGGGTAGGGGGGCGCTAACGAGAAATCAAACTAAAGCGCTAACGCGCCTTTACTAAGATTAGAATCTAAATAGAAGGCCCTTCTTTCTTAAGTCAACTTTCTCCCTTCCTTCAGCTGGCTTCGCCTATCTATTCATCTCTTTTTTCAAATGGATATTTAGGGTCTTGTTCATAGATCTTGAAACCAGATCAATATCCATTTCTCAATAGATCTATCTATCGATAGAAAGATATAGATCTCTATATGGATCTATATCCATATCTAAATATGGAAGAACCAACACTTAAAGGGCGTACGGAAGGTTCTCACCCTGTCCCCGACATTCCGGCCTTTTATTGAATTGATAGGGATTTTACCGATGCTGAAGGTAGCTTGCTTACCAAGCCACCCACTTGAGAAGCTAGTCGCCAGAAAGACGAGGAAGCGAAGCTGTCTACGAAGCTTTGCTTCTCTCCCTGTAGTCGTAATACTCGGCTCGTCGCTACTTTGATTCAAAAGGTAATCGACGGTTCCCGACTTTCTCCGGTTTCCGCAACCGTAACCATTTGTCATTCCGATTACTTCATCCATCAACCTTTTTTGATTATTTCAAAATAGCGATACGCTATAAAAAAAAGTCAAGGATAAGCTTGCATTCTAGAAGCGGTAGCTTCCCGCCTCCTTCATTCCTACTGCCTCCTTCGGTGAGAAGTTCCCTTCCCTTTTCAAAAATGCCTGATTGGTCTGCTCAGCAAACGTACAAAGTGGACCGCAGTTTGGCTGACCCTCTTCTTCCCATTCGGGTTGGGTTAACCCAGAAGTACAGTAAGAAGGAATGGAACCACTGGAGAGTCGTCTGCAGTTCACACTTGGGCAAAGACGACTGACCGGAACACGAACCGATTTCCGCTATTCGGGTTCTTATTGAGCGTAGCGAAATCAAGGTTTATGATAAAGTCAGCGAAGTTTATATGGTGTTCTACCTTTGCGTAGTCTCGGTCCACAGTGGAAGGCTCCGTACCGACGCCTCACTACTACTTAAGAAATTCAATTCATTTCATTAACGGCTAAGCGATTTCATAACCTGAGCTTTCCTTAACCAGCTGACCTTACTTTTCGTAACCTTAGCCTCCCTTTCTTTCTTTATAGTTCGACTAAGTGACTTCGTAACCTCAACGTACTTTCTTTCTTACTGTAGCATAGGCCTTCGCCACTTCAAACGGGCGCTTCGCCCCTCTTTTTTTTGATTATTAGAAAGAGCGGGGCTTTACTTCTTTGATTTTCTTTTCTTTGATTTTCTTTTGGGGGGATGAAAGAAAAATAAGGGATCAGGGGGCTTTATGATCGGAGAAAGAGAAGGGGCGTGGTTGGTGTGTCACTAGGTCGGTGGGGGAACCCGTAGGAAGGGGGGACGACCCGCCGAATTCACATCAGAAATCGCCAACATGAACACAAACGAAAGATTGAATTGCGTATAGAAACAAAACGAACCACTTCTATTCTCGGAGCTGAGGTATATGAAGAATGGCTTTTTGGTCCCTTTCGTCCAGTGGTTAGGACATCGTCTTTTCATGTCGAAGACACGGGTTCGATTCCCGTAAGGGATAGGTACTCATTCCCGGCCGCTTTCAGTTAGTGTTCATTGCTGAGTGATCGCTCACTATCTGGCTGGAAAAGGTGGTCCGGAAGCTTCCTCTCTCCCAGCAAGCAAGACGAGATCACCACTTCTCTCAGTAATGGACTTACTTGAATTCTTCCTTAGCCTTAGCCTTAGATGTCCTTTCATAGATTCTCGAACCTCCGACAGACAGAATCTCCATGCATGCGTTCTTTCTCTCCCTCCCTCAGCCATACATCTCTTTTTTTCCCTTTTTTTCTTTTGGCCGTTTTTGTTAGGCATTGAACCCCACCTTAGGTGCTGAGTGGTGTCCTCCCCTCCCTAATACCTAATACATAGTTCCGTCTATGGAGCCTAAAGCTTCAACCATGGCATGGCAGTAAGTTGGCCTAGTCTCTCGCCCAGCCTTCGCCTTCTTCAGTGGCCAAGTTGAAGCCTTCAACGGTTCTTCGGCCTACCACCTTTCTTTTTCAAGGTTGAGCTTCTTCAATTGAAGCTAATGCTATGCTGCCCTTCCCTTGTTCAAGAGAAAGCGAGGACTTTCTTTTAGCTACCGGCCCAAACAAAAGAGATTAGCCTCTTGATCGATCGATTGATTGGATCGAAGTACGAAGGGGTTGATTGGTTGCTCGTGCTTTCTCACAGCAGTACGGGATTGACTACGACGAGACGTTTAGTCCCGTGGCAAAGATGACTACTGTGCGAGTGCTCATCTCTCTAGCAACAAGTAAGTCCTGGCGGATGGACGTCCAAAATGCCTTTCTCTATGGTGTCTCTCTACACCGTTCCCCTGCCTTCACCCTGCATTCACACCACATGAATGAAATTCCACATTCAATCAAACCAACCATTCATTTCGCATTCCAAGCCAAGCCCAAAGTCTCCGGCATCACTGAATGCTTCCTTTCCCGATCTGCGGCTCGCACTTAAGATAAATGAAGGGACAGCAGTAGGTTATATTTGGTTGGTTGGCTCTCTTTGAAGTCAAAAGAGAGCCAAAACAACCAAATATACCTACTGCTGTCCCTTCATTTATTCTTAAGTGCGAGCCGCAGATCGGGAAAGGAAGCATTCAGTGATGCCGGAGACTTTGGCTTGGCTTGGAATGCGAAATGAATGGTTGGTTTGATTGAATGTGGAATTTCATTCATGTGGTGTGAATGCAGGGTGAAGGCAGGGGAACGGTGTAGAGAGACACCATAGAGAAAGGCATTTGGACGTCCATCCGCCAGGACTTACTTGTTGCTAGAGAGATGAGCACTCGCACAGTAGTCATCTTTGCCACGGGACTAAACGTCTCGTCGTAGTCAATCCCGTACTGCTGTGAGAAAGCACGAGCAACCAATCAACCCCTTCGTACTTCGATCCAATCAATCGATCGATCAAGAGGCTAATCTCTTTTGTTTGGGCCGGTAGCTAAAAGAAAGTCCTCGCTTTCTCTTGAACAAGGGAAGGGCAGCATAGCATTAGCTTCAATTGAAGAAGCTCAACCTTGAAAAGAAAGGTGGTAGGCCGAAGAACCGTTGAAGGCTTCAACTTGGCCACTGAAGAAGGCGAAGGCTGGGCGAGAGACTAGGCCAACTTACTGCCATGCCATGGTTGAAGCTTTAGGCTCCATAGACGGAACTATGTATTAGGTATTAGGGAGGGGAGGACACCACTCAGCACCTAAGGTGGGGTTCAATGCCTAACAAAAACGGCCAAAAGAAAAAAGGGAAAAAAGAGATGTATGGCTGAGGGGGGAGAGAAAGAACGCATGCATGGAGATTCTGTCTGTCGGAGGTTCGAGAATCTATGAAAGGACATCTAAGGCTAAGGCTAAGGAAGAATTCAAGTAAGTCCATTACTGAGAGAAGTGGTGATCTCGTCTTGCTTGCTGGGAGAGAGGAAGCTTCCGGACCACCTTTTCCAGCCAGATAGTGAGCGATCACTCAGCAATGAACACTAACTGAAAGCGGCCGGGAATGAGTACCTATCCCTTACGGGAATCGAACCCGTGTCTTCGACATGAAAAGACGATGTCCTAACCACTGGACGAAAGGGACCAAAAGCCATTCTTCATATACCTCAGCTCCGAGAATAGAAGTGGTTCGTTTTGTTTCTATACGCAATTCAATCTTTCGTTTGTGTTCATGTTGGCGATTTCTGATGTGAATTCGGCGGGTCGTCCCCCCTTCCTACGGGTTCCCCCACCGACCTAGTGACACACCAACCACGCCCCTTCTCTTTCTCCGATCATAAAGCCCCCTGATCCCTTTATTTTTCTTTCATCCCCCCCAAAAGAAATCAAAGAAAGAAAATCAAAGAAGTAAAGCCCCGCTCTTTCTAATAATCAAAAAAAAGAGGGGCGAAGCGCCCGTTTGAAGTGGCGAAGGCCTATGCTACAGTAAGAAAGAAAGTACGTTGAGGTTACGAAGTCACTTAGTCGAACTATAAAGAAAGAAAGGGAGGCTAAGGTTACGAAAAGTAAGGTCAGCTGGTTAAGGAAAGCTCAGTTATGAAATCGCTTAGCCGTTAATGAAATGAATTGAATTTCTTAAGTAGTAGTGAGGCGTCGGTACGGAGCCTTCCACTGTGGACCGAGACTACGCAAAGGTAGAACACCATATAAACTTCGCTGACTTTATCATAAACCTTGATTTCGCTACGCTCAATAAGAACCCGGAATAGCGGAAATCGTTTCGTGTTCCGGTCAGTCGTCTTTGCCCAGTGTGAACTGCAGACGACTCTCCAGTGGTTCCATTCCTTCTTACTGTACTTCTGGGTTAACCCAACCCGATGGGAAGAAGAGGGTCAGCCAAACTGCGGTCCACTTTGTACGTTTGCTGAGCAGACCAATCAGGCATTTTTGAAAAGGGAAGGGAACTTCTCACCGAAGAGGCAGTAGGAATGAAGGAGGCGGGAAGCTACCGCTTCTAGAATGCAAGCTTATCCTTGACTTTTTTTTATAGCGTATCGCTATTTTGAAATAATCAAAAAAGGTTGATGGATGAAGTAATCGGAATGACAAATGGTTACGGTTGCGGAAACCGGAGAAAGTCGGGAACCGTCGATTACCTTTTGAATCAAAGTAGCGACGAGCCGAGTATTACGACTACAGGGAGAGAAGCAAGCTTCGTAGACAGCTTCGCTTCCTCGTCTTTCTGGCGACTAGCTTCTCAAGTGGGTGGCTTGGTAAGCAAGCTACCTTCAGCATCGGTAAAATCCCTATCAATTCAATAAAAGGCCGGAATGTCGGGGACAGGGTGAGAACCTTCCGTACGCCCTTTAAGTGTTGGTTCTTCCATATTTAGATATGGATATAGATCCATATAGAGATCTATATCTTTCTATCGATAGATAGATCTATTGAGAAATGGATATTGATCTGGTTTCAAGATCTATGAACAAGACCCTAAATATCCATTTGAAAAAGAGATGAATAGATAGGCGAAGCCAGCTGAAGGAAGGAGAAAGTTGACTTTAAGAAAGGGCCTTCTATTTAGATTCTAATCTTAGTAAAGGCGCGTTAGCGCTTTAGTTTGATTTCTCGTTAGCGCCCCCCTACCCTTATTATATTAGTTTAGTCATAAAGGAACTAAAGGAAATTTGACAACCTTACTAATGAATAGAAAGGGGATGCGCTCAAGCATGCGAAGAAAGCTCTTTCAGCTTCCCTTATATTATATATAGAAAGATTTTGAGAAGGGGCTTCTTCAATATCCCATAAATTCAGTAGAGGCTTCAAACAAAGCTTGTAGTTTAGGGTGCGCAGGTTTGGAACCCTATACAAGGGCTAGCGCGCAATGGCTTTCTCTGATAGAGGCTCGCGCTTCTTCAAGTTCCGCTTGCTGCTTTTCATTTTGATAGGAGTAGGTGCTTGCTGCTCGTCAAAGCCGTAGCTTGCTGCTCGCTCGCTGTCTACTAAATGAGCCTTCACTGCCCGCCCGGCCCCTATCTTTAATCTTAAGTAAAGTGAAGTCAAATCAATGAA